GTGCCAAAATAACTTTTACTTTCCGTAAACCTTAAGTCGAGAATATTCCAACAGCTCCAGTATTTGGTGTCCATATTTCACAACTTGGAGGTACATTGTTTGCAATGTAAACAAACATGAAGCACTTGTATTTCTAGCATTATTCAACGCTGGTAAAATTGTCATGGCAGCTTTCACGGATACAAAACTACGGGAAAATTACAACTTTACCATGTTTCTCATTCGTAGATTATTTTCAAAATGACCGGTTCCTGGTTCCACAAAGTGATCTTAGCGCGAGAATATCTTTGTCTGTTACTCAAAAACCAAAGGTCCACAAAACATAACATTACGAAACAATGTTCATAAAACTATGGTTTCATTTACATCCTTGATGAAGCGACTTATGTATATTCATCCCATTGAGTATAAACTTTGATAGCTGTATTATAGTAGTATTGCAATTTGAGGACATGAGCTGTACAAACGATGCCAATGACGGATTAGCGTTGTATTTAGAATGAATGTATTTCATTCTTTGGTCAGTGAAAGCATGACATTTAAGTAAAAGGTTATACCCATTTCCATTTAATCTCATATTATACCGACCGCCTCCGTGGTCTAGTGGTAGAGCGTCCGCCCGGAGAGCGGAAGGTCCGGGGTTCGATCCCCGATCGCGTCATACCAAAAGACGTCAAAAGATGGTACCCTGTCTGGCGCTCGGCATTAAGGGGCTAAAACAAGGACTGGTCGGCTCGGAGTCAGTATACTGTGTATGAGTGGGGTATTCATGTTAAACTGCGGCATAGTATCTCAGTGAGCTAGCATTATAAATCGGCATTAGTCCGGTCTAGTACAAGCAGCCACACACACGCACGCACGCACGCACGCACACACACACACACACACACACACACACACAAGTGCATGCACGTCGCTATAAAAGTGCAATAATCTTGGACGCGACGTTAAACCCCATTTCACCTCACCTCATAAAATAGCTAGCACAATATCTTCATCGGCGGATTCCCTGGTCAACACCCATGCGCCTCCCTATTTCGATCATCAAATTATGACATCGCATCTGAATATCTGCCAGGGCTTGCTTTACCACGACCGAGGCAACCTGTGTAAGACATGACTCGGTGTTTAATACTGATTTATATGTTGAATGTGCCGTTAACTTACTTGGTTGATTGTATTGATGAGTACCACCTCTGAATATTGCAATCGGTTACACGTTCTTTAAACTGGGAAATAAGCACATCAGTGATGCCAACATCTGGAGTAATCCAGGTATAACCAAATCCATATTGAAATAGAATGTTTCTGACATTTGCTGGCCCAGATGACCTCGCCATACAATCCAGTTCATCTTTCATCCAAAAATGGTTGCCACAGGAGATATCGCTTGAGTGAGATGCAATGAAATTGCAATGAAATTGCAATGAAATTGCATCACAACGCTTTGCAGACCATTACGACGTCATCGGTTACCATGACTCTGCTACTGAAGACGTTAACAGTATTTTTACACTTGAGACACTTATTACTGTCTGCAAATTGAAAATGTTGGAAGAATGATGTTGGATTATAAATAAAATCTCACCCTCGTGTCTTTTGACATCAAATATATCAACATTCGTTAATAAAAGTGGAAACGCCATGGCAAGCCTCGGAGTTTTTCCACTTTTATCAATTCTTGTTGATATCTTTGATATCAAAAGACACTCGGGTGAAATTCTCTATATACTATCAAATAGTTTTTTTAGGCAATTTGTCATTACTCATAGTGAGCATCTTCCCGAGGCAAGAGAGTAAACTGACATTAAAAGTCCAGTTTCCACCCTTGCCGAACTTGGCTGGAATTCCTGGGCTCGATCGTAGCGCCACCAGTGGCTATTACGAGTTATGTCCTTTCTATGCCTCTCCTATTGACCAATCAGATTCAACCTCTCAACCTATCACTTGCATTTGCTTCAAACAAAACGGTGGCGCCCAGTCAAGATGATCTGATCGATAATCAAGATCTATGTTGTGATAAAACGATTCTTACATCGCGAAGTGCATCAAGTCACGTGAGCACCTTGATTGAAAACATGAAAAGATATAGAAAATATCTGTTGACAACGAGTTAGCGGTGCACATGCTTTGCAAATCCTGCAGTCGACCGAAATCTGCATGACACTTTACGAACCGGATTTCGATTTCGTTGCGCGATTTTGATTTGACTGTGCATAGTTATGTATTTTACCAAATCTGAAACAATTTCGGTTTGCAACAGATAAAAGCTTACTGTAAGTTTTCAAATGGTTTAATTTGCCATACTGACTTCAGAAAAAGATTTCATATAAAAAACAAACAACATGAACATGCCAAAATGTCAATTTACAAATCAATAGCGTGTGTGTCCACCTCTGGTTGCGATGCAAGCAACATATCTTCGTCTCATGGAATGGACCAGGCGTCGCACAAAGTCCTGTGGGATATCTGTTGGAGCACGTTTCGAAGTTCCTGGAGTACCTGTAGAACACATGGTTGGCGTCGAAGGCGCCGATCCATCTCATCCCACATGTGCTCGATTGGTGATAGATCAGGGGAGCGAGCCGGCCAGGGGATGACATTCACGTTGTTTTGTTGAAGAGAATCCTGAACAAGTCGAGCAATATGAGACCGGGCGTTGTCATGTTGAAAGGTAATGCCTGGGCCGTGACGACGCAAAAACGGTAGAACAACAGGGCCGATGATCTCGTCGCGGTAGCGCTGTCCATTGAGATTTCCCTCTGCCTTTATCAAACGGATCCTCTGTCTTGCTGTAATCCCACCCCATACCATAACGCTGCCGTCCCCGAACCGATGTTCTTCCTTGACACAATAATTGACGTAACGTTCACCTCGACGTCGGTACACTCGAATCCGTCAATCGCTGTGGCTGATGTGAAAACGAGACTCGTCAGTGAATAGAACTTGTCCCCACTGCATGGCCGTCCAGCGTAGACGCTGTCTGCACCACTGTAGACGTGCTTGACGGTTGTTTCCTGTCAAAATGGGACGTCTGGCGGGTCTTCTGGCGACAATCCCTGCACATCTGAGGCGACAACGTATGGTTTGTGAAGATATTCGTCGAAGGCCAGGGATGCTTCTTGCAGTCACTGTTGCTGGCTGGAATCGATTTCGTAGGTGTGTCGATCGAATCCAGTTGTCTTGTCGATTATTTGTTACGCGTGGCCTGCTACTTCGAGGATGATCTCTGACTGCATTCGTCTGTTGCCAACATTGCCATCAACACCAAATGGTGTTTCTGTGGACGTTTAATTGTCTTGTAAAACATCACGTTGACTCGAGCCTGCTTCAGGCATACCAATGGCTCGCAGACGCTCATTTTCGGACAGGCGTGGAATTTCGTAATGTTGAATAATTGCGTAATTTTGTTGTTTTTCTGAGTGGTTGTTGTCAGCACGATGCTAAACAATGCATATGGAATCCCGTTAACGCACATGTTTTTATACCCATTCTTGGGTAGTGAAATGCATGGGGCTTGCATAAAAGTCAACTTTTGCATGGAACGCATGCTTTTCTGTAGCAGTTGCGTTTTTGTCACTTGTGCTACAATATTGAAAACCAAACTTTACTTGTTTGAAAAATACACTAAAATATTGGTGTCACAGGAACGTTTGTTGTTGAGTATATAATATGTTCTTCCGCTTTCACCGAGAACAGCTCCATTGCAGACATATTTTGACAGGTATTTTCATAAATTTAATTTGCACCTTTTCTATGTGATCAGCCATTTCATAGCCCCATATTTCGGCACCGTGGGTTAATATTGGGAGTACCAGGCTGTCAAAGGTCTTCATTGCTGTAGTTGTGGACAAGTCACCACGCATAGCGTGCAAGCTGTATATCATTAAGCATACTTTCCAACCCTACCGGCTGAAGGTCGGGTAGCGAGTCACGTGGTCTTAACTCTACGATAACCGTAAAAGTGTCTTACAGTTCGGCAGATTCAACGTCTCATCGTTTTGTTGAACATGGTCGGGCCACCGCGTTTGTTTTTTCTCACTTTGGAGAAATCTCATTCAAACTCGTCCTCAAAAATGATGGCATAGTTTAGTCAAGGGATGAAACCTTTTTGATGAAAATCCGGTCAGTCTTGACATTTATGGAACTAATATTTAAACAGGATTATTTTTTCGGGCAAAACCAAGAATATATTGACAGTCCAGCAAATGCATTTCCTGTCCTCAAAGCATGAAAACATGACAGCACAATAAACAATTCTGGAATAGTTGAAGTGTTATTTTGAAATGAGATTACGATATAGAATTGGAAGAGTCAAAATTAACCATTGACAGACATAAAGTGGAAATATAATCGAAAGTAATTGAATTTCGTTTCAATCACAGATTTACTTTTTTAACATTTCGTTTTGTAGCAGTTACGTCTCCGTCTTTTTGCAATAAAATTATTTCCGCAAAGAGTCGGCATTCCCCGTCCTTCCGCCCGTCTGAGCCGCATTGCTGTCATAAACCACACACGTCCGAGTTCCCGTCACGCCACAGAGCGTGCTTAACGTGATGGCAAAGATAGAAAGTCATTTATGTCAACCTGTTAATAATTTTGTTTTATTGAGAAGATTTATCCTTAACCTACACCATTCAATGAGATGTAAATCTAGTTTACATTCAGCTGAGATGGGCTGAATGTGGCATTATGTTACTAGCAGATTCCTTGTATTGTAAAGAAATAGAATGAGCGACGCACACATTTAAGGGACTATGGGATGGGCTTGTGGTTAAAGCGTCAGCTCGTCACGCCGAAGTACCGGGTTCGATTCCCTACAACGGTGTCCACCGCCGTGATATTGTTAGAATATTTCTACCTGCGTTAAACTATATTCACTCACTATTTTATATCATGGTGATGTGACGAAAATGAAAATATATGTGCTTCTTTTGTGCCTGTTTTGTGATAATTGTTTTGTTGTTTAATCCTCAATTAAAACTTCTTCTTTTTTCCAGACTGTTTGTCGGAGACGAGTACCCATAATGCAATAGAGTTCTCCCGAAATTCCACTCTGGTTGTGTACCGCTGTCGATATCAGTTCTACCTCGCTTCCGGGGACCTAGTGCGCATGTGCAGGAATGGAACATGGACAGGATCGGAGCCATCGTGTCTTGTAGACAGTACGTAGATATGTACATGAGACAGGTCAATTTCGGTATTATTCTCGACTAGAGAGTAGAGCTTAGGTTAGAATGTTAGGGAGCAATGATTGTTTTTATTTTATTTTATTTTATTTATTTATTTTTTTATTATTTTTTATTTTTTTTTTTGGGGGGGGGGAGTAAACGCCGCACTCAGCAATATTTTAGTTATATGATGGCGGCCTTTAAATAATCGAATCTCCAATGATTGACATCATGAGCATCGATCCGCGCAATTGGGACTCGATGACAAGCATTAACCAACTCAGCGAGTCTGACCACCCGATCCCGTTAGTCGCCTCTTATGACAAGGGTTGCTGAAGACCAATTCTATCCCGTATCTTCACGGTGATTGTAGTGGTAGTAGTAGTAGTAGTAACCCGTGAAGATCCAGTTGAGAATAGGTCTTCAGCAACCCATGCTTGTCGTCAAAGGCGACTAACGGGATCGGGTGGTCCGGCCCGCTGACTTGGTTGATGCATGTCATCGTATCCCAAACGCGTAAATTAATGCTCAATCGCTGGATTGTCTGGTCCAGAATAGATTATTTACAGATGGCTGTCATATAGCTGAAATATTGTTGAGTGCAGCGTTAAACAACAAACAAAAAGTAGTAGTAGTAGTAGTAGTAGTAGAGTTGTAGTAGTAGTAGTAGTAGTAGAGTAGTAGAAGTAGAGTAGTAGTTGTCGTCGTAGTTGTAGTAGTAGTAGTAGTTGTAGTAGTAGTAGTCCTTGTGGTTATATTTGCAGTTACTGCAGCAGATGAAGTTGAACAATTAATGGCAGTGGCAGTATTTGTAGTGATAGTAATCATGCTTGTAGCACATATAGCTGTGTTCATTTGTTATCCCCCTGCTACTAATGAGTATCGATGCAATTGCCTGTTCACCTGTCGAGAGAAACAATTCCCTGATTTGCATCCACACTCCCAATATCCCACACATCCTGTGTTTGCCATGCTCCTAAAAGTTATTCATTAAATACCGGAAACGCCATGTCAACTTATTGATTTCGAATAAAATATCCAAACTGCCCTCGCCTTATCACAATTCTGATATATGGGATGAACAACAGCTTCTTATTGCTTGTTCACAGGCGTCCTGCCCAAACAGCTGCTTGTCCTTCTGATCGTCGGGGTCACTGTGACCTTGTTCGCACTTTGCATTCCACTGGACTTCTATCGGTTCCGGAAACGGAAACGGGAATGCCGGGAAAAACAACAGCGGATTAATATGATGGTTCGAATCCAGCCCTTCCATGCTAAAATGATGGGAGCCCAGGCCTCAAGCACCGATGAAGAAGATCCCCCACCCAGTCGGAGTTTTGGTCTAGGATCTCTACTAGCTTTCTTCAGACTTGTCAGAAACAAGAGGAACCGAACAAAAAAAACGACTCCGTCTGAAACACCAACGGAAGAAGAGGTAAAAATGAACACCCCTTCTTCAACCAACAGCCAGCCTGTTTTAAAACGTAAAGAGGAATCTCCGGTTTTAAAGCCGCCATTGCAACCTATCCTAGAAACAAATCAGAAGAAAAAGACTTCTCATGACGCTTCAAGCACGAGCACTGATCGCTTTGGGAACGAACTTCCAACCTTCCCAAGGGCAAAATCTCTTGGAAGTGGAGTAGGGAAGGCTGTTTCTAAACCAGTCACGCCAAGGTCGGCTACTTTCACAGATTCACGGAGTTTTTTGACAGAACAAAAAAAGAACCATGTGTCAGGTAAGGGAAATAACTCTTCAAAGGGAGATAACTCTTGTCAAGCAGCCGAGAGCGTGGATGAGAGGGGTGATGACATTGTTGGTGTTGAAAGGTCGAACACCAGACACCCCGCTACCAGGCCGTCCAAGAGCCTCGTTTTCAATAACAGATATACTGTAACGACACGTGACTCAGACAGCGCCATCTCCCCATGTAAGCCTCTTCCGTCTGTCGGTTCAAGTCCCAGTCATGCGCCGTTATGTGCAGTCAACATGGGATTTTAGTTGACGTTTTTTTAAATTAAAATTCCGAATGTCGAACCAATTGTACCAGTATTTAAACATATGTGTAAAAAACGAGTGTCAACCTTTTCGACAAAGGTATTTTGGAGCAATGTCGTGTTCATTAATATTTTTAGTGATATTGATCCACCCAATCTTGAACCGTAGGTCGTAATAGCAATTGTGAGAAAAATGTTTTAGTGGGTAGTATATTGGCCTATGAACTGAGTGGTCAGTAAGGCATTCATTCGTGACTCAAATGTGGTATTAGTTTCTGGCGCAGGTAAACCATGTTGTAAGCACCGTGTCGACTTTCAGGCACTGAACAAGCACCCGACAGTGTGTTCACGAAGACATTCCTGGTGTCAAAGGAGCAAAAAGTGTGATGACAAGATATGTCGGACCGATATGTCTACTACCATAATACGCCGACCTTCTTATGGTCAATTATTGCGAAACTAATTTCCTAGGTCAAAATAAGTTCCTATTGATAGAATGAGTATAGTTATATGCCGCTTTTATCAATGTTTCAGACATATCAAGACGAGGGACAAACGTTGTACCCATTTGGGGAATCGAACCTTGTCTTCGAGTAACGGGCGAACGTTTAACATGATGCCAGCATCGCTCCCATCGCGTAGGCCTATGTGTTGAACAACAAAACCTTTATTCATGCCAAACATTTTGCCAAAGAAATGACTACAGTATATGTTTTGCATCATTTTTTTTATCCCTGACTCTATAAACATATCCTCTTTGAGATTCCACTCACCATCAAAATACTTAAAAGACATCAAAACATAGGGCCTGGCCCTGTGCACAGCACACAGGTCACAAATCAGGTGCACTTGAGCAACATTGGCTGCGGAGAGTAGTTTGATGGGTGACCGTGTTTAGCAGCTTGGCTCCTGAGAGTTTCTTGGGCTTCGGTCCTGCCCCACACTTAAGCAGATCTAGCACATGCGGTGTCTCCTTTGGCAAGCGACTTTGTTCGACAATAGTTATGTAGCGCTTCGAGCATTCATTGCATGTTGAATTGTGGGCTTTGTACGTGGACCATTATTATTATAAACGAAGTTTGCAGGTGAGTGGGTACGCAAGTACTCCCTGATGGAGTACCTTGCAGTAAATCACGTGACACACTGAACCAATTGAATGCAGGTATGCGAGCTCCTCAACACCGCGTACATAAAAGTTTAATGGCGGCGTTCTTCAAACATGTGCCACCCATTTATTTTAAGCCGTCAGCGAACAGACACTGTTTTGAAAACTTCTAATTGTACCTGTTTGGCAGAGTGATTTGGATTGGAATTGTTTTTGGGGTTTTTTTTATCAAACGTTTTAGTGGATTAATTCGTGCTAGGTACACCAGCAATCAATAACAGATTAAAAATTGACATAGCCTGAGATTCCTAGCTATACAAGAAAGCCCCACCCAGGCGAGTTTATGTCGGTTCTCGTTGTTTAATTAACAACCAGTATTCCGTGGACAATGTATGCAGAATGGCCTCAAACAAACACCTCTTGCCAACACAAACAGTCGAGTGATGGATTGTCTGACACGGAACTGTAATTGATTTCATAATAGTGTCGTATGAAATATTCACATTCCTGATAGGGAATTATATAAGCCAGAGTACGACGTCCCTATCTAACATTCCCTTTGAATGAGGAACACATATCGGTTCCATTATCAAGCGTGACATCAACATGCTTTCATGTCTCGCTTGCCATCGATCAGGGTATGAGCTTCATTGCAATTGATAACTATTATTATTATGGATAATAACTTGTTAAGGACACATATACAACGTTTCTGGGATACTATTTACCCCGTCATCAGTGAGTGAGTGAGTTGGGTTTAACGCCGCTTTTAACGTATTCCAGTTATATCACGGCGTGTCAGCTTAATGTGGGAGGAAAGCCCGAAGTGATGCAGGTCCCTGACGTTTACCACTTCGGTGAGACCCACGAGCACGGGTATGGTGCTGACAAACCTAGAAACATAATCGGGGCGAACCGGGATTCGAACCCACAATCACAGGTTTCTGGCGTGCCCAAGGGACGCAACTCTGCACAGCGAATCGCGGCGCCTTAGACGACTGGGCATACCAAAAGACGTTTAAACATTGTACTTGTTGTTACACTGCCTGGTGCTCTGTATTAAGGGGATAAATTAAGGACTGACCGGCTCGGATTCTGTACACTGTTTCTCAGTGGTGTTCATTTCTTGATTAACTGACGTTTCATTGTATTTTCAAAACGTTAAAGCCTTAATATATTAATTATCTCAGAGACAGAACAAAGTACAGTAAACTACGGTTATAACGAACTCAGAGGGACAACTAATTATAGTTCGTAATAACCGTAGTTCGTTATAATCATATATACAGCATAACTACAGCAAATAGTCGGGACCAAAAAAGTAAGTACGTTATATCCGTCAGTTCGTTATAAGCGTGTTCGTTATAACCGTAGTTTACTGTATTCCGTTTTTTTACAAGTCTTGAGGAAACTCTCGAATATTGGATCATATAACCAGTTGGTTTGTGAAGTTTATGAAATGGACAGATATTTTAGTAGAGTTTTAATTTAATGCAAACGAACCAAGTGTAGCGGCCATAAACTTTCTAAGTCCGGTGAAGGCATTGGAACACGGACCTTCTGAAAGACGGACTTGACCGAGTGTATGCCTAATAAAGCATTGTACTAGACGCTATGTTGTTAATCTCAACGTGTGTGCTGTGTTATCATCCATCAGATGGTGCCAAGGTGGTCGTGACATTCCTGTCACTGAAGAACAAAATTTATAACACGTGTAACACCATCGATGAAAATGCAGTAAGGAGAAATTTCATTTCGTATCATTTGTAGCACATGGTGACGTGCTCACTAACAGAGACATAAATAGAGACTATTTCATGCTTTTTGTCCAATTCGATGTATATCTCATCGAGTGATGTTAGAAAAACATATTTTCACGAGCTGCGAAGCCACAGACTTCACGAGATGCGATATATATCGTTTTTGACAAAAAAAGCTTGAAATAGTATATTTATTATATACATTTTGATGCTAAAATGCCCCATTTTCTAAGATTTGCCAACACCTGGGCAAGTCGCATTCTCAGTCACTACAGTGATCAACAATAATTCCTAACACGCAAATTATGTTTTATAATTTTCAATATTTATTGTTGATTCTCCACAGTTGGAAGAACACGAAGCCTTAAAAATATATCAGAGCTGTTATGTGGCGCACCAGGGAAAGCGCACGAATACATGGATACAACAAAGCGACAATCATGGCAAATATCAGTGACCTGCTTCGTCGCAAGTTTGTGGTACTGAAGTAAAAAAGAACACAACAAAAAGCATGGTGTCAGCGTTTTGTGATATGAAAGTTGTTAGACATCAAGTTGTTTATATCACAAGGTTACTCATCCTGACCTCTTTTTTTTGACGCGTGAGACGAACCAAGTAAGACAACAGTCAAGGGCGGTAACTCTGGATGAAACTAGTTACGTCATCCCAGGGCCATGAAAATACTGGTTTTTATTTTCACACAAGTGAAAATATTGGTTTTTATTTTCACACCAGGGAAAATACTTGTTTTTATTTTCACACTAGTAAAAATACTGTTATTTATTTTCACACAAGTGAAAATATTGGTTGGTTTTTTTATGACAGTGAAATATGTATTTTCATGAAAATTAGCCTTTTATTCGTGTATTTTATTAACACAAATGTTATTGATGAATTAGTGGTGAATTATATTGCGATGCTGATGTAAAGAGTTTGTAAAGTGTGTCGTAGTTGTGTTTAATTATGTCCGTACATGAAGTTTGTTTGTTTGTTGTTTAACGCCACTCTCCGCAATATTCCAGCTATATGATGGCGGTCTGTAAATAATCGAGTCTGGACCAGACAATCCAGTGATTGACATCATGAGCATCGATCCACGCAATTGGGATTTGATGACATGCACCAACCAAGTCAGCGAGCCTGACCACCCGATCCCGTTAGTTGCCTCTTACAACAAGCATAGTCTCCTTTTACGGTCAGCATGGGTTGCTGAAGACCTATTCTACCCCGGATCTTCACGGGTCTCGTACATGAAGTAAATTGTTACAACTATTTCAAGATGCCCTGTCTGTTTATTTATGAGCGTGGACATATGGCCTCTTGCGTGTCCTGTAATCAATAAAGTGGACAGCAAATGCTTTCGTTAATTACCTGTGGGACATTTAGTAAGTGACACACGCACGAACTGAATACATACATGAATGAGTGAGTGAGTGAGTTTGGTTTTTAGCTACGTTGACCAGTTTGTCAGTTACATCAATGAAATCTCAAAGTGGTGCAGGTCACAGACGTTTATCACGTTGATGGACACGTAAGAGCGGGTATGGTACTGACAAACCATGAAACATAATAAGAATCGAACCCACAATCATAGGTTTCTGGCACGCCTAAGGGACGTAACTCTGCACAGCGAATACGAGCGCCTTAGACGACAGGCTAACCGTGCCCTGAATAAATGTATGAAGCAAGGAAGGAAGGAATGACTGGATGCTGAATGAATGAATAAATAAATATGTGAATGAGTGAACAGAAGTCAGCTGATATTAATACGATTCTCAAAATTGATTTAATACTAAAATAACATAACGCGAGGAGACATGTGTATTGCTGACATGTTGTCAATTGGATTTTAAATGAATTAAATATTGAGACAGTAGGACATATTCATCCCCTTGAAATAACCACACGAATAACACTCGCATTGAATGATAAGTGTCTGACTTAAGCCATAAGATTCATTTATTATCCTCATCCGGTTGTTTTAAATGTATATAGCCCAGGAAGAAATATTTGTGGAAATCCATCACAATGTTCGATCTATTATTATATTCCTGGAACTGACTAAAAACGTGCGTTCTACATGTTCAAGTTCTTTCCAGTACATACATGTATGTATTCAAAGCACTGGTATCTCAGTTAGCTAGCACTATAAATCGGCATCAATCCGGACTAGTACAAGCAGCCACACAGACACACACACGTACATGCACGTCACTATATAAGTGCGATAATCTTGGACGCGACGTTAAACCCAATTTCACCTCACCTACTTACTTACTTACTTAAGTTTGGGATTTTACGTGCGCTTTCCGACTGTAAGCGTACGCGTATGTCGCAAACCTGAAAGCATTTTTCTATGTACGCTTAAAATATCAAAAATAGTTGTTCATCATAAGTCAGTGAGTGAGAATGGTTTCACGCCGCTTTTAGTTACATTCCAGCAACAGCACAGAGGGGGGTAGCACAAGTGGGCTTCACACATTGTACCAATGTTGGGAATAGAACCTGGGTCTTCGACGTGACGAGCGAGCGCTTTCACCACAAGGCTACCCCGCCGCCCCTGATGTTGCACCGCCTCCGTGGTCTAGTGGTAGAGCGTCCACCCGGAGAGCGTCAAGGGTGGAAACTGGACTTTAAATGTCAGTAAACTCTCTTGCCTCGGGAAGATGCTTGGTGATCTGTGCTTTGCAAACGACGACCCACCGCTTTGGAACAACATTCCCGTCAACATCAAAAGTGCCAAAGATATCAACCAGTACCTAGTTTTGATTTTTGCTAAAATCTTCTTTCTAATGTAAGTCAAATCCTATTTTGTACAAAATAACTGTAAACCGTCTTATGGTTT